CCTTTTGTGAAGCGGGACTGCAATTGGTTGGTGCATACGCGGAAATGATGAACAAACCTTTTGGTGTTGCTACCCTTCCGAACACTAACTGAACCCTGTAGTCTCATTGCGCACAGACGACTATTGCCGGGTATCCAATCTATCATAGAGGCTTCAGTTTTATTGTTTAGTACGATACCTACACTACGCTGACCCAGTGGGCGGGCTTCGTCGTCTCCTAATGTACGAGGGAAATACCTCGAGGACAAACCCGACGCACTCAGGTGGCTTATAATACTAGGATCCTGAATTCGTGTCTCTGATATGCAAGAGCCATCGATTTCTAGAGACTGCCACACCGCGCTTTATTCGCTGTAGCTAATCCGGGCTGGAGGAAACTACGTGGAGGTCAACAGATGACCGGAAGACGAGGCATAAATAAAAGCACAGAGCTATTAGGTGGAGTAGATGTCTCTCGCCTCCCAGGTTTGGGCCCGAAAGACTCCACAACTGGTTGGTTGGAGATATTGAAGGATATGCCAGCAAACCGACAACAGTGGCGTTCTTGTTGTCATTTCCTATCAGGCCAGAACGCTTGAAACGGAATGTGTGCAAAGTTCGATTGCGTACTGTGTATGTTGACCATAGTAGTTCACCTTCTCTCTCTCCCTCAAAGCAGGTCTAATCCGTGTCCACCCTCAACCCCTTTTGAAGACCGTCAATAACATTAAAACTCGTTTGAATTCTTAAATTTATAAGTTCAAATGAATTATCACACGTCGAAAAAAATCGCACCGCTTGAATTTTCTTCACATAGATTTGTATTTTAGTTCGGCGTTATTTGTTATTTGTTTGGCCACAAAGCTGATATATGACAATCAAAACGTCAACTAAATTGGAGGAAAAATTACTGCTTTCCGTCACTTTTGTTTTATCGTGAACTGCATTTCATTCAGGAACCAAAACAAGGCTGCCTGGTTTGTGCATCCAACGAAAATCCCTGTTTCGTGCCATGCTACTGTTACTTGATTATCAGTAGTTAAACAAACGTTTACAAAATAATTAACGCTTCCTCGCCTCATCTTTTCAAGGAAATCCGCTCGGCTCACCAAAGCACGCTGAACGGCTCGCACGCATTATGCACTATTCCGCATACGCACTACACCTGATGTTTCCCCTCAATTGTCTCCTACTACTACACTATAATATGCTGATGCGGACGCACCAGCGGGCACACCAGTGTTCGATTACCATTCAGCTTGGGCATGTTGCTGCATGACATTGAGCTTTTTTCTCGACCAGCGTTATGCCGGCGGTCAACTGCTTAAGATCAACCTCTAATGGGCAGTATAAACAGTAGAGACAGCTAAAATTTTCTTTGGTTTCACGCCTTGGAGATTTTGCCGCTCGTCTCATGGTGCTGTCGGTGATCCTGGTGAATGCAGAGAATGAATCGCCCACTCACCTTCTGAAGGTTGAAATAACCCTATAGGTAAGGTCAGCACAACGAATTACAACCGATCTTTGCATTGAGATCACCCACTAATCTCAGGGTGTTTTCTTTCCTGGCTTTGAGACTGAGTATGTGGCGGTAGAACCTGACTTTTGCGTTTGGGCTGCTATTTTCTTCCATTTCGCCTGTGTTCTGTTTGTACCCGTTCGTTTATGTGTTCTTCTCCACCCATCATTTTCGTCCCCTGTTCTCACTGTGTTCGACTCGGTTCGCCGTTGAACTGTTGCTAGGGGTTGAGGGTAGGAGGGGGGAGATCCACCACTTGCTCCAATGGACGACCGCGGTTACCCAAGACGCTGCTCCTAACCTCGGTATTACTTGTCCGTTTACCCCACCAGATTTGTGCAATGTTGCATAGACAGCGGTGTTTAAACTCCTGCAGTCTGTCTTTATCCTGTTCTTTTTTAATGGCTAAGCTTCTGCTCCGTAATGCGGCACAGGCGGAACTACCGCAGGATTCATTCGACCCTTCACGGACAACCGAATGTCGCGATGGCGCCACAGATGTCTTAAGTTGGCAAATGTCAATTGAACCTTCTGTATGTGACCCGACACTTCATTCGTGAATGCGTTCTCCGGGTGAGATATAGTTATTCAAACAACAGAACTTATCCACTTGCTCTATTAATATCTCAATTAGAATGAGGTTGGGTGCTGGACCAATCCCAATATTTTAGAAACATTTTACCCTTTAAAGGTGCAAAAGGCATACCAAACATGGCTACACCATTATATTATCATATTTTACACTTGTCTGAAGACAGACTGTATGCCAAGCAAACCGTAGTACAGTAATCTTGTGGGCTGAATACTGTCAGGTTACCCAGGCAAAGGAATCCACAACCGGAGCCTTCGGCTAACCAAAGCCTGACCCACAAAGCAGCGGGACGGTGTGTGAAAACCGCAATCCATTGGGGGCCGGTATTCAGTTCATCGGATCATACGCCCTTCGGACGGGGTCAAACGTCCCAGGTGCCCAATACGCCTCGATGCGTAATCAAGCCGGTGACCACGGTCAAAACCAGAAATTTCTATGTGTGGTTCTCACGCCTCCTCTTGGTTGGTTTGAAATCAGGGTTTTTGGCCAACTCCCCTGTGTGAACTATCAATGGTCCACCAATCCGGTTATAGTCCCGGATGTCGGCTTTTCGTCCTCTCATTTTGATGAGAAAACACCTCCGTCACGAGAGGGCAGTGAGTAAGGCTTCCTTAGCAGAGGCTATTTAAGACGTTGGTCGTATGAGAGTATTTCACGAGGTGCATGGGAAGGATGACCAGCCGCAACCCTAGACACCCACCCTCGACCATACTCAGGCTTTCGGAGGCTGTACTATCACTCAAACTATCCAGAAAAATTTGTAACTTACCTAGATCTTCACTTAACAGTACAATGTCCGCATTCTCGAAATAAAACAGTCTACCACTTGGGAACAAGTCGGTGCAGCTACCGCCACATGAGGATGGGTCTGTTTCAAGACAAGTTAAATAGAAACAGATAGGAAGGGAACCCTGACGAACACCACTTTCGGTCGTGAACTCGGGCGAGAAAGTGTCGTCAGCTCTGACTCGGCTTCGACTATTAATATAAAGCGTTGGTAATATTGAAATACACTTCTCGGGCACACCCTCCATGGTGAGGTAGCGCCGGAGTTTATAGCGGTCGGCTGAGTCGAAGGACGCTTTCAGATCGAGGAAGACAGATGGTGGGTCTAGAAAAACAATGTCGCTGCTTCGGAATTTGTCGAAGAGATATGGTATATACAACCTCTACCAAGTGTAAACCCAACCTGATTCTCGCGTGTGCACGGTTCGCGTGCGGCAGACAATCGACGGAGTATGGTCCCAGCGAGAAGTTTAGAGGTAATGTTGATCAAACTAATCTCTCTGTGGTTTTCACAAGAGGATCTGCCGCCTGGTAAATCGGTAAGATTCACACCATTCGGTTGGAACCTGTTCCCTATCCTGCACTGTTCGCGGGAGTTTCGCCAGCTCCAAGACAAACGCTGAATTATCTCCTTTAAATACCAATGGAAACATTCCATCCGAGCCGGAGGCCTTACACGTTTTGAGATGACTGATTTCCCGGAAAACCCCCATTTCAGGCGGACCACTGACAGCAACTAGGAGTACCACTTGAATTATCTTGCCTAACCTATCGGGGCTTTATGTGGTTCACCACTCCGGGGCTTAGGTTACCGGTTTCCACCACTGAACAGCAGGTATTCGTGACTATGGGTCTTTGCTTCGTCTGTTGTTCATCACACTCATGTGTGTAATAAAGATATACGTTAGCGCTACTCTATACAGCTCTGATCCGTCTCAGCTATCTGACGCAAGTTTATAAATTCCCACGAAAGTAAACTAGTTCTATGCTCCATCCGTGATCTCTGATGTGTGACATAATGGTTTTGCATAATGAGTCCCTCTCGTTGATCTATTCTCACTCGTCAAAGCGCGCTGCACAAAGACAGACGGTGTGTGAGCACAGCAACTCAAACTGTAAACCACTCCGCAAACAACTAAGATACCAATATTTGTACAGAATTAGACAAACAAGGATTGAGTAATAAAAATGAAACAAATGGTGACCGCTGAAGCCATCACTTAAGGTGGAAGTAGTGGACAAGTTGAACCAGTAATTCAACCAAACAAATCGATGAACCAACCAGAATGTGCACTTGATTTTATGGTTGTTTATATAGTTGATCAAGTAATTCCCATGAACTGCATTCTCCAATGTTATTTCAATTCTCCCAGTCATCTTTCGTGGTTGTATGCAAAAGGATATACATAAGTATGATATCTATATCACTCAAACTATTATCTGTGTTGTGATTTACTCCCTCCGCCTCATCATCCCGCCTTATCCAAATGTTTGTCCACCTTTTCTACTCGCTACAAAGAACAATACCTTCACACATGTATAAAATCAGACAATTCACTAATTTCTTATCTCGCCTGATTTTCCTCATCTTTCATGATTTATACGCTCAGCATTAGGTTAACCTCGTAATTATAATCGACAATTATCAGTTCATTTTCATTTGGCGGGAATTAAGCAACTAAATATGCACCTCGGGGTGTAATAAATAATAATAATAATAAATTCTTAACTTCATTCGGGCAGTTGTGCATCGAAATTCGTCTATGTTGCGTTTCATCGATCATTTAGCGAGTACTCTGGTTGTCCATCAGGTATTTCCTAGTTTGTTGTTCGTTCCATCCTCGCATAACCGTAGCCACCGTCGGTAACAGTTTTACTGCAATACATCATACATATGTATATGTGCTTTCGTTTCTCGCTGAAACGTTTTATAGTGACCTTTATGGGTACAGTTTTAGTGTTTAGATGGTGCTTTTACTGGGACATTTTATGTAGCTAAACCATTTAGATTCAGGATTTAACTATTAGTTAGCAACTTTTCCCTGTTGGTTATTTTGGACAACTAGTAAGTTATTCTTTGTGCGAATGTTCATTTGGAGGTATGACCTTATTCTCTTTTCACAGGTTCGACCGGAATTGCGCTCCAGATTGGCGATTTTACAGCAAATTGTTCCGCGTTTACCAGAAAAATATATCACTGGTGGGTCACATGCAGGAAACAGTCCGGGTGGTGGATCTGGTGTCACGAATGCAAATGCCTCGTCCGTTCCCGGTGCACAGGGCGTTCCAATCACTCAACTGCCCACAGTCGACGAGGCCTGGAGTTTGCCGATCCCAGCTGAACTTACACAGCGCCAAATGCAACTTCGGTTACAAGAGGCCGCCGCGAACGGGGATGATACTGTTGGCCAAGGTGGCGGTTTGCGCGGTGAAAAACATCTGGCTAGTCTACTCCTGTCTCCCACTCCGGTCACCTTAGCCAAAAAGCGATTTAATCGCAGACATTCAATCACTTCAAGTATGTCCTATTCGTTCATTTTGTCCCCATTCAACTTAACCCACTCATGTCACAGTGAAACGTGTGCAGCCTTTGCTTTAAAAATCCTTATTTTCTTGAGACCTGAGTGTTATTCGATGAGAAAAGTACGATGATTTAAAACATGGTGTGTATGGTTTGTCATCCAAGTTGTTGCTGATGATGCTTGTGAAAAACAAACACGTTCACCCCTGAAGAGAACACAAGAGGAAATCAACTAAAAGAAGCAATTCACCGTCCCCCAACGAGATCGCTGTTTTCGTTTCGGTCGTGTGAGAAGCATGTAAAATTTATCGAACAGTGGGGTAACTGAACCATGCTAATGATTGAGCAATTGATGTCTTGTGAGCAGTCGACGTCAGGCGATTGATTACTATGATTTAAACCTCTTAACCACATATCCTTTTAGAATTTTATGGTAGGTAATGCTTGTCGGGGGAGGTAGTACCTGATAGGATGTCACGACTTGAGTTCAGCTTCCGTTCAATTTAAACAACCTTCAATCTATGACACACTCATGTCGCACAATGTCCCCAGTCATCAAATTCGTGTCATACTGCGAATATAGCGATGTTGGAACACGGTTTGTTAGCGTCTGTTTTCTACCTGTAACCGCCGCGTATCCACACAAAACAAGAATAATCAGCTAGTTGTTGCGTACATTCGACCTTTCGCTGACAGTGATATGTGGCCGGGATACTAGTGACGTCTCGAGGTAGTAAACGCCTGACGAACATTCTGTATGAATGAGAACACATCTGAAATTTGTTTGCCCGGTGAGATGGAGATACCTATGTAGCGAACTTTTTCAATTTTGCTTACTGCTTTCTCGGCTAGAATGAAATTCTGAATAGGGAGTAAACCACACTCAAGCCAACATTTCCCACTTCGAAGGTTCAGTGGAAGTAGATGTAAATTCTCCGGTTCATCCTTCGGTAAACGGGGACATCGGACTGTGGTGCTGGTGACTGGTCTTGGGGCCATTTTTCGATCAAGAAATGCGTTTCTTAGTTTTGCCATAGGTGTACATGTGTTGGATGCAGTTGCGACCAGGTTTAAAATGGCGCTGATTCTCATTTACAAACTGCATGGGTAGTGAATACTGCGTGATGGAAGGGAGAACCTCAGTTCGGTTTATACGTCGGTTTTTGATTTGTTGTCTATTTTCCACTGCACCGTTGCGCGATGAATGAAGGGGTTATCGCAATAATCACGAGAACCTACTGTTCACCCATAATAGCCGCCAACCTAAGCCAAGAGACTTGGAGTGGCGAACTGCCAAGAGACCTGCGAGGGTAAGTGTGGTATTGAGCCGCCTGACAGCAAAGCTACTCGCCACTAATCGTTGAAACAATGGAATCAGCTGTCTCAGAAGTTTGAAATCACTGTTTTCAAATATTTTCCCACAAAATCACGACTTTTGTAATAAATCCGAAACCTCGGATCCATTCGTTTGGAGTGCTCATTCCACGTGCATGTACACCTGACTGTTCCACGATAATCCCTTTTGAAATACCCCCCATCGTTATCACAATGCGATGGTGACGTCACCAAATTATCACCCCAGTGGATGGGTGTTCGAATTCTACCACTACCACCTGCCTTTCCCCATTATGTGTTGCATGGCGGCCCTTGGATTGGCTGCTCCCCCCTTCCTGAAAACTGTATCGTTGTGTATTCAATAAAAGGAAGTAAAAAAGAGAAAAGAAGTGTCTTTCCGCAGAACAATGTTTTATGAGCTAAACACGTTGAAAAGTTATAAACTGCCTGGTCAAACCATTCATTTTCGTAAACTGCGACGGTTTGGCGCACATCTAACGGCAATATCGTCTGTTGTGACTCAATATGTTATTCCAGTTGGTTTGTGTAATTTACGTGTGGTATTTGCGGATCTTTAAAAAAACTCATTTGACGTGTGTTGTTCATGATGAACTTCATCACTGCAATTTTAATAAATGTTTCGTGGTCATTCTTTGTGATATTGCATCTTGTGCTTTTTTGCTAGAGTTCCTTGTAATCAACTCATTTTCTTTTAGAGCATTGCTTACCTGGTCTGATTATCGTCTTTTATCCACTCGAATGCTCCGTATCAAAATCTAGTTCCTTAATTACCAGGAGAACGATGAAGCTCTGATGAATGGTGTCAGAAACTATCATTCTGACAGTAAACCTTTTAAGCTACCAATTAGTGGTCTGATATTTTACGGGTGGCTAAAACCGCTGTGCACATGCTCAGACGGGTAGGTACAAACGACTACTAAATGCAATCTAACACAACCCTGGAGTTCTTCAGGCTTCGTTTTGTGCTTTGTTCGATGACCCGGTAGATATCCGTCCTGCCTTCAGGATCAGCTGTTGGTCTACTTTTTGGTTAGAAGCCGCCCAGCTCACGTGGTTGGTAGCTGTTCAAGAAGCAAAAAGAACTCACACAGTCAAAAAGATTCCGGATACTCAGCTCCTACATTCCCTCAACCGTATTCATTTATGGGTTTGTGATAACCGCTCCTCCGTGTTCTTATTTACTGGCGTGATCTCCCTAGGATGTACGTGGACGGTCAAACGACAACCCAACTAGCTCCCAACTATCTGGTCATGTGAGACTGAGGTTTCCATGATCTGCCCTCTCAAACTTTGGATTTGTGACCAGTTAAAGCCATCCTGTATGGCGCTGCTGATCATTTAGGCTTACGATCCCCCACATACTGCAATCTCGTTCTGATGATACCGTTTTGTTGCTGAGCTTTTGTTGTAAAGTAAGGCAGAGCAAATACTCCTGCAATTCGTTCTGGTTTCAATTATCAAGTATTGATGTGTAAACGTCAGCAATGCACCACAGAAGACTATCGCTGGTGCAACAGATACCGGTTTATCATTTTTCCCTTTGTTGACTCAACGCCCTTAGTTCCATTCTCCGATGATGGTGATTTCAACTAAAATTCGAAGCATTTTTCTTCAGTAACCAATGTCTCATTCCTTATGTAGTCCACTTGTGTACCGAACTCTTTTTCTTAATTTCAAACCAGATGAATCACAAAAGTCTACCACAGAAGGGTCATCTTCGGAACCCAGTTCAAAACGTGCGCGGCAAGATGAAGAGGGAATGCTTGGTGCTGTTCCCTTAACTGAACAGCAATCCCAAACACTCCAGACACTTTTGGTAAGTTCGCATTGGCTTCCGTCCTTGTCGATTGTTCATTGGAGCGCTTGTCTAATAACGCTCATTAGGTGAACTTCTCGTCGAGTTCGTGCATTGCCTGAGTCCACTAATCGTGTTTGAGTTTGGATAATTGCATTATTCACTGTGATTCAGTTCGTCCTGGTCTTCGAAGTTGCTTGAAAAGCTCATCTGAGTTTCACATTGCGCTTGTATAGTTTCCGATATTATGAACATTTGGTTATACGTGTATGGGTATGGAATATTCCACCGAGTGGTATTTACTGAGGTAAGCAGTGAATGCAAATAACACATACCACAACATGACCCAGCTTAAAGGTGAGAAATCCCGAATCATTAGACTTAGCTGTCTGTTGGGTTTCTCGATTGGGATCTAAATCGGTGTAGTTGATGGTTAGATACCTGCGGTTATACGGCCGAGTGCGATGGCCAGTGTCAGTGATTCACTTTTCCCACGTGTCTCATTATCTCGTTTCATGTTTTTAGCCTAGGAACAATGTCTAAGTTTTTTGTTTACTCCTGACCTTTTCCTGATTATCTGACTGAACGGACCAAACTAATTGTCAAGAAACAAAAACCAAAGCCGGATCACAGAAGTCCAAATTCAATAATTGTTCGAACCCTACTAAACGATACTGCTGTTCTTGTACACATTTTGAGCTGTCGTATTGTTGTTGATGATCGCTGTATTTAACATTTACGCGTAGATGTTTTTCAATTATTTTCCTCTCCATTCAGACTCAAGAAACTTCGCTAACAGCTTCACAGCGCCAGCTGTTAAATCACTTGCAAAACCAAGCCCTAAGGTACCATCAGTTTCGTGTTACGCAACGCCATCACAAAGGAGGATCTTCGGACCCATTAGACGAATCGCGCGGCACCACGTGTGCAGATTCTTCCACTTTATCTCAAAAACCGACAGACGATGATCCCGTCGGACAGAATAATCCATCTAGCTTGACCGGACCGGACGCGGTAGATTTGTTTCCACCAGAAGACGATGATGACCTACCTGCGGTTGTCGGCAGTCCCGGAACAGATCATTTGCCTGAAGAGGCGTTAGCTTTTCTCACCGATGATCTATTGGCCCAGTTGAATAGAACAGAGGCAGCGGCCAATCTAGACTTGGTGGAATTAGCTTTGTTTGCTAACTCCGGTGCTGCAACTGGTGGTGGCGGCAACGGTCCGGGAAGTGGCACTGGCGGTGCCACTGGTGTCGGTTCAAGCAATGTAAATGATCCAAACACACCCGTTGATGATTCGAGGCCTTTGAATTCCATGCACTCCACAGATGAGAAAAGCCCGAACACACCTCGACGACACAAGCCAGAAGAGGGAATCACTCAACAATCTGCTGGGGTCCTAATCAAATCTGGACTAAATGAACTGGTAGGGGACTCTCAACCGTCATGTTCCGTTGATGAATCTCTAGGGGATCTAGGTCGGGTTGTTTGTGATACGGGACAAAGTGTAAACCCGACTGGACCAGTTGACCTCTACACCTATCTGACCAAACCACTACTTCCACCTACCAGTATCACTGCATCTTTAAGCATCAATATGTCTTCATCGGAGGTGAGTGTCTCATTTTTAGTTTTCTTCGAGTGCTTTTAAAAAAACAATTGCAATTTGAGTTTGGTTACCTTGCAACCTTTGAGTTATGGTTATCCTTGTGAACAAACCATCAACTCAATTAATCATCAGAATTTTGAGGTTTAATTTTGATTCCAAAAGTATTGCTTTATTCAGTTATGTCGTCACAGCTTCTAATTTGACATTTCAAAGCTGCGCTCTGTACTGTATGGTTTCAATGAAGTGTCTGATCATCATTCATGAAAGCAGCCTCATCATCGGCGTCTTCTCTGGACCATTGGTGGGAAACACCAGGCGTAAGCAATACGATCGAAGAATCGAACGGCTCACGTAATTCTCAATGTAAAAAGATATCTTTCCAGTTTAGTTTGTACAACCATTAACCACACATTTGTGCGCCAGTTTTGGTTGCCCATTTGGATGAAGAATAGGAGAATAAAGGAAAGTTGGAAGTGGAGTCAAACAGAAAATGGAGAAGTTCAGTGGTCTAAGGTTGCAAAGAAATTGAGGAGATGCAAGAACGCCACTGTCTACGACACCCAGCCATATCACTCAGTGTAGCTAACCATCGGCTACGATCATCCCGAGGTCCCCAGCCAGGAAGCCTAACAGGACCTATGTGACCCAGTCTCCTGGTTAGGGTTTTCATACCCTCGTGCCAGGTCTTAGCTTGACAACCTTGGGCATTTTTCCACTCTGTGTCTGCTTCGGCGAACATCGCTCGCCGTGGTAACCTATCTAGTGACATACGTAACACATGTCCCAACTAACTTAATCTATGGAGGTCGACCACTTGCTCTAGTGGGCGACCGCATTTACTCAAAACTCTGCGTCTAACCTCAGCATTACTCATCCGGCTACCCCACCAGACACGTGCAATGCTGCGTAGACAGTGGTGTTCAAACGGCGACAGTCTGTCTATATCCTACTTTCTTAATGGCCAAGTTTTTGCACCGTATAGCAGGACTGGCCGAACTGCTGCAGCATACACTCGACCCTTCACAGACAGCCGGATGTCGCGACGGCGCCACAGATGTCTCAAGTTGGCAAATGCCAATCAAGCCTTCCGTATGCCAGCTGACACTTCATCCGTGGTGCGTCCCCGGGGTGAGATGTAGCTGCCCAAATAATAAAACTTATCCACCTACTCTATTACTTCCTCAGTTAGAGTGAGGCTGAATGCTGGACCAAACCATTCTTGTAGAAACATTATACACCTTGAAGGTGCAAAACGCATACCACACAGGGATACAATAGCACTAAACTATCCACAAAAGCTTGTAACTTACCTGGATCTTCACTTAGTAGCACAATATCGCCTGCGTACTCTACATCAAGTGTCGGGTATTATTCGGGATTGAGAGGAAGAACTAGACAGATACAAAGGAGGGTTTTCCAAATGGGTGCCAAAGACTTTAGGTCACGACATCCTTCGCGGTAGTTCACAATGACGAAGGGTTTTTCATTGGGAACCCCAACCGGAGCCTTCGACTCAAAAGTCTGACCCACAGGGCAGTGGGGCGTAAATCCAACGCGGGGGCGTGAACGAAGCACCCGTGTGGGGGCTTCTGGAGACCTGTCACGCAAGGTCTTTGAATTTCGGTTCAGTGTTTTGTTCGCTGGTGCGTTGATTATCGGTCCGCTTTTCGGGATCGGCCCTTATCCTCATGCACCCAGTGGGACAAGCGGAACGTGGACGGGACAGCACCTTATTGGCTGGGGGCTGCCCAGCTTGGGTGGGCGGTAGCTGTCCAATGAAGTGCGAAGACTTCTCCCATCGTCGAGAGGAAACTCGAAGTACCCCGCTTCTACGTCCATCTAGCGGTGGGTCTTCGACCGGTAAACTGCTCATCACCGTGTTTATTTGCTGGAGTGACCTCTCCAAGGGCGGGTGTGGATAGAAGGAAACCACGAGGTGCCCAAGCAGTCTGCTTTTTGAGACTGAACTTCGTCTGGCCTCTACCCGTTGATCTGCGGTTGTGAGGAGCCATCCTGTACAGCACGCTGGGTCGTTGAGGCACGCAAACCATTACACCACGTCAAGGTGCAGTCTCGTTGTGAATCGATTCTGAGTGACTGGATAGAACCCTCCCGATCGTAGTGAAACATAAATAAACATATATATATATATATATATATATATATATACATATATATAGTGTGTGTGTGTGTGTGTAAAGCAAGCAAACGGCCCCGAGTTTCAGTTCAGTTTCAGTTTGTAAAACCATTAACGATGCACTTCCGTGAGCCGGCTTTGGTGACACATTTGGAGGAAGAATAGGAAAAGAAAGGAAAGTTGAAAGTAGAGCCGAACACAAAATGGAGAATTTCAGTGGTTTAAGGTTGCAAAGAAATTGAGAGGATGCACGAACGCCACTGTTTACGACACTCAGTCATATCACTCAGTGACTCAAACCACCAGTTACGATCATCCTGAGGTCTCTCTCTCTCTCTCGAGAAAGAGACGATCGTACGGTGACACTTACTTGATTAATTCGTATAAACCCGGATCGGAAATTTTCACATTCTTCGCCAGCTGCCAACTGAAGTGAATCATTGGTACAATGGATTTGACTCCACGCAATCGATTGAACTCATAGCGCTCGGCAGCCAGTTGATATTGGCGAGCGGTTAACGGTCCCACATTCCAGGCAATATTATTACACCAACCGATTGCCTGAACCCAGTGCACTGTTCCCGCGTTAATCCATACCAGATCGCCTGGGCGTTGGATAAACCGATAGACCGGTATACCTTCGCTGTACAGAGTCTCCAAATCTGGCCACCAGGACCCCGTCAGATAATCAACCTGTTAAGAACAAAGAGAGCCAGGGAACGGAATAAGAGGATGGCACCAATCCAAGAGTTTCAATCCCAAGAGAGTAGGTGAAACAACTCAATCTTTGGTTATAAGGTGAACCATGAAGGTTTCACTCTATAGCTGCTAAAGTAGGTTCAACCGGCTGAAAAGAACGCCTTCAAGACTGTTGGCTTTACTCCGTCCGCCTTTCATCGAAATGTGACGGGTAAAAACTTACTTTTCTTGGCGTGTGTGGGCGGAGGGGCGAGATGTGTTAAAGCATAACACGTTTACGGCATGCTTGCCCCGTCAACCGCACATGTTTAGTTTCGCAGTTCAGATTCCTAAGCGTTTTGCTGAATACTTCCAGAGTGAGCTAGTTCCAAATCGATTGCGTCTCACACTTGTTATGGATGCAATAGGGTCTTGGACATTTTTAGTATAACTCATTGTCAGACAATGAATGCACGACGTTCCAAATCATTAAAACAATCATCCCTACATTTTACGAATGGTCAAATGATCAATGAGATGGCGAAGAAGAGTGAAAAGAATGGGGCGGTTCTGATGCTCTCTAAGCACCGAGTAGATTATGAAGAAAAACTCAAGCACTAATGGAGAATACCAATACTCGAGTGTATGCAATATAAATCAGTTATGTTAAATAAAATTCTATCTTTTCCGAAAAAAAATTGTAAGTTTATTAGATTCCTCTAGGTCTATGACATTAAGTCTGAATTTTCGAATCATCACGTATCGTGAATTCCATGTGGGGAATCTAAACCGGATGTTTCAGGTTATCAGTCCGATCGCAAACAAGTTCAGTTTGTCAGATAGCCCCGATTTGAATTCTGGTGATTGATTTTTGGTTATGATAAAAATAATCCAACATGGCAGAAAATAGTATAGGAAACAGACTATCCATTTTAATATGTTTTACCTAGAACGGTGGAGTTTCGAATCCATCCCTCAGTATACTTAAGCATTATAGATGCACGTGGCATTCCTCAGATTACTAAAACGAAACTTACAACAACCGATAGCAAGATTATAACCCAGCGGGCGGTGGTGGTCGGGTGATAAAAATGTCACCAAATTACCACTCTTGAGGGCGTGCGTTCGAATCCAACCACCACAGCCACCACCATCTGACTTTCTCCACTGTGTTGCACGACGGCCCTTGATTGGTCGCTATCCCATCCCCTCTACTCTGCAAGAGTATAATTTTCAAGAAAAGGAAGTACAAATGAACATGAAAAATGTCTCCTGGCCGAAACCCCAATAATATCGGCTAGAGAACATGAAAAGTTGCATTCGAAAACTCTCAGCAAGTTGGTATAAGGTCAGAGAACAGTGATCGCTATAATCAATGTAATTATTGTCAAAGGATCTGGCACACCTTCACAGCATTCTTTGTCATGGTCAGAGTTTCATTCAAGTTAGGTCAAGCTGAGGGGCAAGAGTTCAAACATTTCAACGTACTGAGAGAAAAGGTGGCCTGATTATGTGTTTTAGACTAGAAGTCAGTCATTGTTGCGAACCTTGTACGGCCTGTCCAACGTAATCTCATACCTTATAAAAGGCACTATGGAATCGGGTTCACAATCTTTGGATAAAATCATTGTGGTTTTTAGCATTGAATCAATCCCTTTTACGTGCAATCCTAAAATTAAAATTTCACAATTATGCATGATTAGAAGAATAATGTTTTGTTATCCCTCAATTGAAACTCATTGCTTATTGTTTGTTTATTCTCTGTTCTCTCTCTCTCTGTATATATATATATATATTTATATTGTTACGCGATTCGTACGTACGGTACTTTGCTAGCCTTTGGTCGAATTTACGCACCCCGAGGTTAATATCAATATCAGAACGTCTCGGATTCTTGTCTTTGGTGGTTCTGTAATGATAAAACAATATGTTAACATACGGTATGGTAAGCAACAAGGTTGAAATCGAAAAGAAGCGTACATTCGAAGTAGTTTGACCAGCAGTCCAACAAAGAGCACCGATGCGTGGTGATCAGNAACAAAGATGGCCGGCCGCCACGACAAAGACGGGTTACAGTCAACCAATAGGAAAACAGGAAACAAGGAAGATTGTCCGAAAAGAGTTTGACTACTGACAACAGTCAATAGTAACGATGAAATAATTAAACATGTACTAATGTCACACTCCCCCACGAAGTCGGGGTTCTCCGACGGTTAGGAACATCCCAAAGTTTC